TGTACTAGTCTCTGTACAGTGAACCAAACTAATTCATTGTCCAATAAATCAAAATATGACCTAATTTTATCGACAATAGATACGTGGAGTCTACGACCATTTAGAGCACTAATGTGAATTGTTGAAAAACTCATCTCAAACGTAACTTAAATATGACTTTGTCTTACTAACGTAGCAACTAAAAATAGACATCTTAATGAGATCCGTCCAGATGTGGAAGCTCTATTAGACGAACTGCATCAATAGAATTTATGATTTATCTCTCCTGTTTCTTTTTTTTCTCCTATTAAATACTTATTGGAAATGAATTGTGTTAAAGAAAAAATCATTGGAATTGAAATTTGAACTTGATAGTCTATTTATTAGTAATCAAGTCTACGTGAACTGAAAGTCTTTTTATTTGTCTGCCATGTAAATTGAAATTCATAGAATCCATTAAAAACTCTTATACGCAATGGTGGAGCCAGCACCCAGTAAGCTAGGCGACTGTTCGTGCTGGCTTTCGGTAAAGTACTTGCCGCTTGAGCGGCCTGTGGATAGTCTGCCAGGAAGCCATTGTTAAGAATGAAGCTGAGGCTGTGAGTATTGAACCATACCTAAAATAAGGACTACTATATCACTTCCTAAAGAATATTGCTTTAAATAGCTGTACATTTTAGAATGGAGAGTGAAGGTTCCGGGCATAGGATGGACCAAATAACGGAGGATTGGAGAGCATCTCCTGAGGGGTGTAGCGATGATAGTGTTGAAGAGAATGCCAGCCTAGTTCTCATTTTTTTGCGAAATTACCCAGCTTACTCCCTCTAGTTATACAAAAAGTAGAAAGTAGTTTTTCAACTTTTTTTCAGTGTCTTTTTTATTTCTTGTAGCACTTGAGTAATGCAGTATAAACCAAGAAAAACTTCGTTGTTTCTTTAAATTTTCAGTATAAATAATATTTTAAAAAAAATTATTTATAGTTATACATTCCTTCAATAAAATAATTTTGCAAGTAGATTTATAATTTTTCCTATTTTTTAATTACGCTTCCTTCAAAAAAAAATATTGTTCATAAAATAGATTTTCAAAAAAACTAAATCAAATAGGCTCTCAATAAAAACAACCTTCAACATTGGCTTTGATATTACTAGTGGCAACTACAAGAGAATGAGACAATCCAGAAAAAAATGAAGATGAGACAATCTGGTGGTCTACATGAAGCAAGAAAGTTTTAAAAAAAATTTGAGAATGAGACAATTTTTGAGGGCTTTCAAAATATGAGATCTTGGAAATGCAGTCGTCTCAACTTACAGTTATGAAGTGAGGTTGCATCATATATTTGCTATTGTATTTTTTCCTTGTTATTATTTTAGGTTATATCGGAATATATTTTCATATGTATATGATTGTTACATTTTAGTAAATTTATAAATTGATTGAAGAACATTTTAATATTATTTAATTAAATATTAATAAACAATCTCCTTATTGCTTCGTTCGACGGTCGATGGTTGTCAGTCAATGGCTGCCCTAGCTCACAGTAACTCCTGGATTCGTCACTACTAATACGGATACTAAAACTAATATTACTATGTAGTGTTAATCATAAAGGATATTATTTATGTATGGAAAGAAATTTCGATTCCCAACAAATAGTATGCCCATGTTAGGTGAAGATTAAAATTAGATTTTTAGTAGATTTTGATAAAAATGGAAATGTATTATTGAAAAGTTTTGAATCCCAAGAAATATATGATTTAAATATTTGATGTATACCCATGGCATGCGAGAGAGTGGTATAATGCAGCGGTGCACATGGAATAATAGGGTTTGATCAGCCTCCAATAGCCCACTGATATTATGAGGTTCCCCAAATGAATCTAGCACATGATACGGTCCTTAAAATTTTGGGGTCCCTTTCCATCCATCTATTTTTAGCCTAAATAAATCTGTGTACAAATCTATGTTTGACAGAATTTTTACAGATCACTCATAAATGCGTGAGCCCCACCTAATTAAACAATAGCAAAACTTAACCCACTCACCCTCCCTGTGAAGTTCCAATAAGGGTTTGTGAACCCTCTACCTGCACACGAAGCAGCCCTCTTTTAGCCTAACATACATTTAGGTTTTCTAGGTATGTGTATATAATGAGATTTTATTTACCAATTAATCTTTTTGGAAAGTTAGTCAATATGAATGTAGGAAAATGCATGGAATTAGGACATGCTTGGTCTTAACATGTCCACAAGCACAAATCATTGTCTATTTGTGGTCCTCATGTTTCAAAAATTCATTTTTTAAAAATTTATTTTTAACCACACATTTTTTCATAAATAATATTACATGTAAATCAAAAATTATTTCTTATTGTTTAACGACATATTCTTGAAAAAAAAAACTATTATAAAATTTTACTCCAAAATTTCATTAAAATGAAGCCAAACAAGGGCTAAAGTTTGTATTTACTCTAGTTGAGATTTTTATTAGAAAACATTTTTATCTTCGAGATTTTGTTGAGATTTACACTTTTAAGACTGTCAAGTGTGAGAAGTCGAGAACAAGCCGAGCAATAGAATTCTCGTGGGAGCCGCTCTTCCTGCTCGCGAGCTGAGGCTAAGCGAGTCTACTAGCTCGTGTAGCTAAGCAGTCCGTATGGCTGCTTTTTTAGCCATGCAGACTGCATTGATGACTCCCCAAAAGTCTTGAAATTTGAATTTATTATTTTTTTATGTTGAATTTGAGGTCTATGGATAGGGAAGCATGGTAAACCAATATCTTCACTAGATAAAGCTCTGTGTACGGAGCTTTTTTCGCAGAGGTCTTACAGTCCTCTCACATGGGGTCGGTCCAACCTGGGCTTCGATGCAATAAAAAATGAAGAAAAAAATTCTGACCCCACCCCTAGAACCCTGTAAAGGTTTTGTAATGTGGCTGCCGATCGTCACATTTTAGTATTCTTCATAATATCTTAATACTTTCATCTCTTTAGTAGTATAATTTTGCAATTACACAATTTTTCCTTCGTTGTTTCAACTATTTCTCCAATTCCAACTCTCATTGTACTTAATATTTCTGTAAGTTGTTTTTATTGCTAAATTTTTTATGTAACTAGTTATGAATTAAATTGGATTCGTGAATCTCAATGAGGATATTACCAAATTCTTTGGTAGTTCCAATACTCTCATCTACTATTTTTCTTGTGCAATCTTCCAAAAATATAGAAAATGCCAGTACTATCGAACCAATAATCATTGAGCCCGATGATGAGTTGGCAGTAGAGTCTCTATAAGGGGATAAAAGAAGGAAAAATAAATAAATAATCGACGAGCTTTGTTAGTTCAATTGTAGGTGAAGAATAAAAATGTCCAATGAAAATTTTTGTTAGTAAAGGACGAGTAGTTTGAAATGTGCAACTATTTGATTCCCATTATTTCATAACTTATTTTTTATCAAATTCATTGTCAATTACATATTCTCATAATAAAATATTTTCCTAATTTTTAATCATACAATCTTCAAAAATTCACTATCACAAAACTCATTTTAATAAAATGACGGACATCAAACAGGATGGTAGTATTTTACATGACATATAGCAGTCTCTTCGCACCAATTACCATAATTTAGCCAATATAAATTGTTAAACATAATTACTATCTATATTGAGAATTAATAGATTAGGAAGCAATGCATGGACTTGTAATCACTTAAAAAACTTCTCAATCCAAGAGAGACGAGAGCATATTATGATTTGGATTTTGTTATTTGTACATCAAAATGGTATATAAGACATCATCCAAAATGATGTGAAGGAAAAAAATTAGATGAAAAAGTTGAATGTATTTTAAACCAGTAAATAGTAGAGCACATGTGGCATTATGTAATATCTTATGTGAATCTTGATATATACGTAACAAGATCCGAATAATTTTACTCCTCTCTATCAATTAGAATGATTTATTAAGGAAATTTTATTATTATACATTATGTATGTGCATGGTAGGGTGGGTGGGAATTGTGGGACAATAGAGGGGAAGGTGGTTGCACAAGAGGGAATGAAGTCGGGACGCACTATATGGTACGAAGCAGTTGATACGAGGAAGGTGATGATAGTTTCTAATGGAATTTTCAGAATATTACTTAAAAGGAGACCATTTTAAAGAAATATTTCTCATTTTCTTTTTCTTTTTTTTTTTTACTTGGTCATTTTCTTATATAAAATATCTTTTAAATTTCTATTTATGATTTCGAAGAGCTAAAAATCTTTCTTCGTCAATGCACAACCATATGAACATCTCGTAATTTGAGTTATTTATTGTTAAAAAAATTACTACTTCTCTCTAATTAAAGAGACAATGTTGTTTTTTAAGAAAAGAAGTTTGTTTGTTCCAAATAGAAGCAATCCAAATCAAATCTCAAGAAAAGTGAAGGTTTGGAATAGTACCAATTGGATCCACCAATCACTTAACATAAAATACTATGCATAAGATATAAACAATAAACAAAAACAAATGTCACCAAGAGTAATCAAATAGTGTCATACTATCTTAATCTAAGCAGGTATGAATGCTCTACGCACACGTGTAATCGATATCAATTGTGCTCTATTTGCCCCAATAGTTCGACCTAATTGTAGGGACATGAAGCCTATGAGGACATACATTCAACTCTATACTTTAAAAAATAAAAGCACATCCAAATTTATGATATAAGATTTACGAATTCAATATTGTCTAGATCGTGCAACGTTGGATGAACTGCGTTGGACTAAGAGTGACGTAGCGCGAGCCACTACAAAATTCAATTTACACTTTTAAAGTCGACCTTCCTATGTTCTTATGGACTTGTACGTTGAAGAAAGACGGAGAGTGAAGCAAATTTAAGCAAAAGAAACAAGGAAAAATAAGGTTACCATCACGGTGCAGGTCAATATCCATTTAACTAATCGATCCACGTGTCACATTTCCCATTAAATAAACAAATTTTTTTTTCTAATTTCTCATTATTGTTATCATAAACTTTACTTTCTGCTCTGCATCATTAAAAATAACGAGAACAACCCCACCTCGCACCCGTCACCGCGCCACAAAAAGAAAAAAAGACTTTGTACAGAAATTGGAGTGAAAATGGATATGATAAGTAAAGAGCACAAGAAGGAAAAGTTGGGGTTTGAGGAAACTGAGCTGCTTTTAGGATTACCTGGCGGAGGAGGGATTGTTAATGGAGATTTGGTGATAAATGGTAAAAGAGGGTACACAGAAACTGTGGATTTGAAGCTCAATCTTGCTTTGAAGGAGACTGGGAAAGAGGAGAATTCGCAGAAAGAGAAGAATCTCATTTCTTGCTCTAATGATTCAATCAAGTCCCCTTACAAGTAATTAATTTTTACTTCTCTTTTTTCACTTTCTTTATACTCAAAGCATGGTAATTAATAGATTTGGTTGTCGTGTTTGACATTTAGTACTGGATATGCTCAAGTATTAGTAATGTTCATTCCTCCTTAACAAACATGTCAGTGGAGTTCGTGACAGAAAATCATAAAAATAAACAAAAAAATATAGGTGTTGAAAGAATATCAAGTGGAGAATATTGATTTTTACTTGAGATGATAGTATATTGGAAACATGAAATTATAGGAACAAATTGAGGAAAAATGTAAATGAAACAAACGATTTATTATATTGCTTAGGTGTCTCTGATTCATACTTTCAGGAATAACTATATTAGTTTTGGTTTATCTCTCCGGCCGAGTGGATTAAGCCCTGTTTAGTTTTCATTCTTTTCTCATTAAAATAAAAAATATGATCGTTATTCATCACATCAACCCACCAAATTTGAATTTCTATATCTTGTATAGCCCATAACGGTTATATTTTTCATTCTTATTCTCCCAAAAATGAGAAACAAACGGGGGCTAAGTATGACTCTTTTTTGCCTAAGCTGTTTTTTTTACCATTCTGACTCAAATTCTTGTTTCAAATGAAGTAAAAAGCCCCTTAATTGGTTCAAATTTTCAATGCTTGCAAAAACTTAATATGAATCAAGTTTTATTAATTCAGGGCACAAGTTGTGGGCTGGCCACCAGTTCGGTCCTTCCGGAAAAGTATTATGGCGGTTCAAAAGAGAAACTCCGAGGAGGGAGGTGGTGCTGCTGCCTCTTTTGTAAAGGTTAGCATGGATGGTGCACCTTACCTTCGCAAAGTTGACTTGAACATGTACAAAAGCTACCAAGATCTTTATGGCGCCTTAGGCAAAATGTTCAGCTCCTTTACTATGGGTGAGTAGAAAAGAGAGAGAAATTTACTTTGTCAAATTAAATAATCTATGTTAAATGCATAGACATTCATTCATGTTCAAGTATTCATATTGTATACTACATGCTCAAGTCGTCTTAGTTTTCAAGTAAAAGTATGATAAAGTTATATGAGCTTGATACATGGAAGTACTCATTTAACTTCCTTTTTGGGCTGAGCTTAGCCGCCTATGTGCATAATTGGGATTATGCTGTTTGATCTAATATACATTTATTGATCTACTGATCTTGATTATATTGAAGGTAAATGTGATTCTCGAGGAATGATGGATTTCATGAACGAGAGGAAGCTAATGGATGTTCTGAATGGATCTGATTTTGTTCCAACTTATGAAGACAAAGATAGTGATTGGATGCTTGTTGGGGATGTCCCATGGGAGTAAGTCTCTAAAATTTTCACATACTCATTGTCTTCTTTGGTATTGGAGGTGAGGGTTGGGGCGTCCAGGACAAGATTGTTAGGCTTTGATGTGGAAAAATGAACTCGACCTACATGTGAGGGGGCTTGTCGAGGATGAGATTTAAATGAATGCATTTGGCCCTCCTCTAGCAGCTTAAGCTCTTAGATGAGTTGATTAATATGAGGATGGGGTACAAATACAAGAGTGTATATATACTAAAGATAAATTTGAATGAAACAGGATGTTTGTTGGATCATGCAAGCGTCTCCGCATAATGAAAGGAACAGAGGCAATAGGACTTGGTTAGTATCCTTGAACAATTCTATTCACCTTCCTTTGATTTCCTAGTCACCTTAGTGGGTTGTCGTATATATTTAAATATGCATATTGTTTTATGGTATGCTGGAAAGAAAATAACTCTGGATAACAAAACTTGTAGTTTTTGTCGTATGCCTTTCTTTCTTAATCTTGTTCAATCATGTCATGTCAAACATGCCCTTATTTCCCTACTTAAATGTTCGAGGTGTGTTTGACTTGTTTGTTGCATCCAATGGATCGAATATACTTGTGCACGTCCATCTGCATTTCAATAATTTCGTATTACAAAATAAATGAAAGCGTGAATTTGAGTTGCAGCTCCTAGAGCCATGGAGAAATGCAAGAACAGAAGCCAAAGCAGTGAATTACAGTGCAGCCTGCTGTTTTAATCTTTGCGGTCCAAAGGCATAAATGCAGGAGATGAATGGAGCAGGATG